TTAAAAGTTCAAGAAAGTTTTATTTTTAAAAGAAAAACAAAAGTGAAGCATTTAATCCAAATTAATTGCAAATTAAAAGAAAACTAAGAGGAGAATTGTCAGGACTTCTACATTCAAATCATTTTTTCTAATCATCCCATCGATAAATACATAGGTTGTGTATTTTTTTAAAAATTGATAATCATGACATCACTTTTGAGTATTAAATACTTAAAATCCCACAAGATTAAATCACAATTTCTTAGATTTTTCTTTAAATACCCGTAAAACCATTTGGGACATGTTTATTTAATCCCCCGTGAAGCTATACTACTCAACTGCACATCAACCTCTCACAACAAAGACAAACATTGAAATCTAGGACAACAAAATATCCCAGTATATAAACTGTGACATTCTAACACATCTGCCTCAATCAGATAAAAAGTGGCTAGACAGGCTATGAGAACATCTGTAAGTTCTGAAATAAAGTTTACCATGTGGCCTAATTGATAATGAAGTTAATATTTGAACAAGTATCAGTTCCTTTCAAATTATTTCACTTATTTTACACAACGATTTCTGAATCTCAGTGCTACTGACATTTTGGACCCTAAAGAATTATGTTGTGTCTGTCCTGTGCATTGTAGGATGGCTGGCAGCATCCTGGCCGCAGTAGAAGCCCCGCCCCCAGTCATGACAATCAAAAAAATGACTCCAGACACTGTTAAATGTCCCCTAGGGACAAAACTGTATCCAGTTGAGAAGTACTGCTCTAAAGAAAACCCAAGCATTAACGTGGATAAAATCCTAAAATATGATTTTATTTGAAGTGATTTTATAAGGAGACAAAATATATTAGTTAGTTGTACTAAACCAAGTCAGACCTTTTAAATGGAGTCAATACTACTAGGAAGATGCGATTATCCATTTTGAAGGAACATTGGATTCAAGCGACATCTTTTAACAACATAAATGCTACTGGCACATGCCACACCATTGCCCCTTCAATCAGGAAAGCTTTGAACCCCATAAAAGATAACTAGGGCCCCTTAAAACTCTAGCATAGGAGTTAGGATGGGGATCAGTGACTGTTCATGATGAAATGCCCATAAATTGTTTAATCTCTATCCTTGTGTCTAAGATCAGATTCATTTAAGACGAAAACAACAAATCTGAGTAGGAACTAAGCCAGAAAGAACATAAAAGTTGAGGCAGACAGTCTAAAATTTTGTGCAGGGACAACTCTAACAGATCTTAATTCTTTTTCCATTCCTTTCTCTTCACCTAAGCACAGCTGTCCTTGAGAATTTTCAGAGAGCAGAGTTTTATGTACCCATAAAAACAATCATTTTATAAAATAAAATCAAAATGAACACTGCCATTTAAATATTTGCATTAATCTTAAGCATAAGACAAATATTTTATGCTATTTCAAAATAAGATTTAATGTTCTCTTTATAACATATATCAACCAAAAAACAGACCTGATGTTTTAAATAGCAATCTACCTATAGTACAGATGTTCAATTAGCACCAAGAAAACTATAGCTTTTAAGGATACCTGGCACTCTGAAAATACAATATCCAAAGCTGTAACTATCAAAAATTAAATCCATAATTTTTCCAAAGAAATATTTTATTTGAAAATTTTAAAATTAAGTTCTATAAGACATAAGCAGTGACAAAAGAGATACTTTTAGCAACCTTTTTTAGCCACATACCAAAATTTCAAGGATTAACTCACAATGTTTTAATTTCTGCAATCTGATTGAAATCAGTCTTTGTTTTCTTTCTCAGTGCTTGAGTTTTTGCTTCTAGGTAGACATGAGGAAGAAGTAGTGGAAATCAGAATAGCAAATACTGGATTTCTGATGGCAATATAATCTTGTTTCCTTCTGAATTAGTTTAAAAAAAATTCTTCCTCTACTTTTCTTTTCCATCTTAACACAAAATTGAAAACATACTATAGAGGTTTTTCTTGCTTTTTCCACTTAACGTTTTCCCATGTCTTTAAATATTCCCCCAAACATAATTTTCAATGGCCACTACATATGAATTCTATGGTAATATCATTTAACTGTTTTCTACTTTAGGGATTTTAAATTGTTTCCAATCTTTGGCTCTTATTGCTGGAATGAAAATTCTTATGCATAATTATGTTTGCATTTCATGTTATTTAGGATAAATCCTTAGAAGTTAATTTACTAGTTCAAATAGTAAAAACATTTGTATACTTGTAAAAAACAAATTGTTTTCCATAAAAGATTATGAAATTGATACTTCCATCAGTCTTTGAGAATGCCAATTCACTGCATATTAAAAAATGGAAATTTTCTATGAAAATTTGCCAATTTTAAATATTAAAAACATCTCATTGCTTTAATTAAAGACTTTTTAGTAAGACTGAACACTTTTTTTTTTTTTAATTTATTTATTTATTTCCCCCAAAGCCCCAGTAGATAGCTGTATGTCATAGCTCCACACCCTTCTAGTTGCTGTATGTGGGACGCGGCCTCAGCATGGCCGGAGAAGCGGTGCGTCGGTGCGTGCCCGGGATCCGAACCCGGGCCGCCAGCAGCGGAGCGCACACACTTAACCGCTAAGCCACGGGGCCGGCCCAAGAGTGAAGGCTTCTTTATGCTAGTATTTATAATTCTACCTTTTCAAATTATCTGTTAGGTCTTTTATCCATCTTTCCATTTTAGTGTTAGTTTCTTCCATATTCAACTACTATAACTCAATAGAAAAGCATATAACCCTTGGTTACGACATCTAGAAATTTTTAACTTTTATGTTGTCCAACCAACTTTTCCCTTTGTAATTTTCCCACTATTATATGCATAGAAAATCCTTTCCCATTTCAACACAACTATTGACATATTTTCTTTTAGTTCTTTTGTTCCATTTTGACATCTATATTTTTTAAACACCTGGAATTTATTTTTGGTATGGTATAAGGATAATGATTTAGTATCTGGTAGCATGAGAACCTATTAAACATTATTTCCAAAATTGTCCTGCTTATTTTTCCAGATTAAGTTTTAAAATTACTTTGTCAGGTATCCCTCCCCCCATTCCCCCCAAAATCTCATTTAGATTCTTATTGAAATTGCAATTAAACTGTAAATAAAAATCAGGAAGAATGTATAAAAGAATGTTGAATACTGGTGCTATCGGGTATCCTTATCTTGGACCTGACTTCACAGAAATACTTCTGGTATCTCTCTTGTTTAACAATACATGGGCTTTTTGTTTCAGATATGAATTTCTTTTTTCCTTTTTTTTTAGTGTATTAGAGAATTCTCCTTCCATTTTTATTACTAAATCTTTAACTAAACATAGATTTTGTATTTTGTGAAATGCCTTTGTGACATCTTTTTGGGGACTATTATTCTTTATCCTCTAGATCTCATGTAGAAACAGGTTTTTTAATAGTAAGCCATCTTTTAATTCCTGTCATAAGTCCTACTCATAGCAGTGTCTTATTCTTTAACATGTTGATGATTTGGGGTTGTTTCTGCTTTAGTTAACATTTTTACATATAAATATTTCTAGTCTAGAGCCTTTTTGAAGACAATTTTTTGGATAACTATTAAAATTCTAATGATTACTATTTCAATTAGATGTTCAACTTCCTTATTTCACATATCTTCCCTGAACAACATTTGGAGATTTCCAAATCTAAGTTTCAATTTTTAAAATCTCATCTGCATTTACTAAACGTGTATGTTTTCTAATTTAGCGTATTTATGATTTTCATTTTTTGCTTTTGTTAGGTATCTTAAAGGTTTGTCTCTATATTTCCTGTCTTTCCTGTGTTCACCAAGAATCAATTATTTACCAAATCTCCTTTCTATCTCATGGTATAAATTATTTTCACTTACTTGCAGAATGAATCTTATGGTGTTTTGTGTTTTACTGTGCTATTAACTCACTTTGTAAAGTGTCTATTTCCATTCATACTGTGAACCTATCTTGGGGCAGGTTGCAACGAAGTGTTATGCCTTCTAACCATTAATTAATTAGAAAAATCATTATACTCCTAGTAAGACCTGGTAAGACTTAGTAACTTGATCTGGTCTTAGGAAATTAGAAAACTATTTTAATTGTGTTTTTCCAGAAGACACTGCTCCAGAGTTTTATATTATTCATTCTCAGCACTACATGAGCGAAACGCTTCAAAATAAATTATGTTAGAGGGAAGAAACAAAATGGAATGAAGAAACAAATTGAATGTTGGAAACTATAATGTTTAATACAATGTAAATATAAACAATTTAACTTTATTGAAATTAGAAAAAAATACACTTCAGAAACCACATATTTCTTTTTAGGAATGATAATCTGATTGTGCCGAAACTGAATATTTGTATAACTGCTATTCGTCTGTCTTGAAATTTGCCCTTTTTTTTAGTCCATTAGATTCCCTGGTATATTGTTACCATAATTTGGCTTGCATTTCCTGTGTAATTTGTGTATATTTTTCAGAAATGCTGATTCATTACCTCCATTGTTCTCTATGAAACTCATATGGACATTCCTACAAAAGCACTTTCTTTGAGATGCATTTTCCATATTATACATAAGTGGAGAGGGAAAGCTTTTTAAAAAATGTTAAATATTTTTTATTTTTATTCCTGTGATCTACCCAAACCCATAATGACTCTACTAGTCAACAGATATTTTTAAATAGAGAACATCCCACTTAATGTAGGCAGCCTCTGCAACTTATACTTTTCCCTCACAAGTTTACATTTCCCTTCCAATGACCATAAGAAGTATAGGATAGATTTCTCTAAATCCACTTTTGAGATATACGTGTAAAGAGATAGGTAAGCCACTTACATTTTTCATGATAAAGGCTAATACATACATACACACACACACACACACACTCTTCTCAAGTAGGACTACTAGAATAATTTCTAGCGGACTATGAAATTCATATTGCCAAATATGTAACCACCATGGTACAGAGAGTTTAAAAGATGGAGAGCTGGGGGCTAGAAACGTCTTACCTGCTTTCCATCCAGTGTGCAGAGCCTCTTGACCACTCCTGAGTCTAATTTAATGGCTTCGGTGATATCTGTTAAGACTTGTTCAAAGGAATGAGCAGTCTTCTTATTTAGAAGGATCCGCACGGCTTTTCTAGGCTTCACTCCACTTCGAATCACGGTCACTAATTTGGGTTTGATGAAATCTTTACTTTCCTTCACTTCACTTTTCACCGAGGAGGGAGCAGCCAAGGCTCGGGTAGTCCCACCCTTGATGTTTACAGACCAGTTCGGATTAATATTTTTGGTGTAATCAACTTTACGAAATGGTTCGTTCGATGCACACACATAACTCTCACCTAAAAAGAAAAAATCAATTTTATTAGCATGATTATCTCCACTACAGATGCACTGTATCTGAAGAACAAATGCTGGAGACCCATTAAGTGAACTGCTAAACTTCACAGGTTCACTGAAAGGGGATTCACATCCTTTTCCTTGGCCTCCCTCCCTTTTTTTTTTTTTTTTTTTTGTGAGGAGATCAGCCCTGTGCTAACATCTGCCAATCCTCCTCTTTTTTGCTGAGGAAGACTGGCCCTGGGCTAACATCCGTGCCCATCTTCCCCCACTTTATATGGGACGCCGCCACAGCATGGCTTGCCAAGCGGTGCATCGGTGCGCGCCTGGGATCCCGACCGGCGAACCCCGGGCAGGGCAGCAGAGCGCGTGCACCTAACGGCTTACGCCACCGGGCCGGCCCCCCCCCCCCCCGCTTTCTTTTTAATAGCATCTAGATTGGTTTTGAAAGAATAACATGCATTGCAGAACGAAAAGCACTGGACAAAGAAACTACTGAGAGATCTGGGTTTTATTTTGACCAAATGTGTCACCCTGGATAACTCCTCTGCAGTTTGGTTCTCACTGTAAAGTGAAGTTGTTGAACCAGATGAATTCTAAGTACTTCCTAGCTCCAAAAGTCTATTCACTAATTTAATTTTTTAAAAATCTCATTCTAGAAGAAATGTACCACAAAATAACATACCCGCATAAAGAAATAAAACTATTTTCTTCCTCTTTCCAATAATAGATTTCAGTCCTAACCAAAGAATAATCACTACATCTTCACATAGCTGACTAAATTATATTCAGCTATAGGATCATTCACTCGATTAACGGAGACTGCAAAAATGAAGGAAGAGTTTTGACAGCTCAAAGAAACATACCTTAGGCATTTTTTTTCTTAATTAAAGAATGTAAATTTAAAATAATTAAACAGACAACTTTTGCTATATCCACTTAAATGGGAAAGAATGTTAAATACTTAAAATGATGTATTCATTACTCACGTAGCCTTCAGCTTAATTTTTTTTAAGTAAAACATAAAAACTATACTGTTTGTCAATTGGTTTACCAATTCAATGTTCACTAATTTTAAATTCCAAAATTATATGTTGAGAAAATTTTTCATAATTATGTTTAAAAATCATAATTCATAATTATATGTTTAAAAATCATAATTTTTCTTTCAGAAAACTCAGACATCACTGAATTCTTTTAGTCTCAACTTTTTGGTATACAATATAAGAGGGTTTACACATTAAGATTTTCTCCTAAGATATCTTAAAACTCAAAGAGAATCCATTATTTTTTCACATATTCAGTATAACCTCATTCTTAACAATTATATGATACAAGCTTTATATGCTGTAAATAAATGTTCTATTTTATTAAATTTATACCTATTTTTGAAGTTACATGCATTTTCCCAGACAATTACATGTGAAAAATGATTCACGTAAACCTACAGAGATGAAAAATCTCTAAATGGTGATGGTTGGGCTAGACTTCAGGTTATTGGTGTAGAAGTATCGGTAAAGCTACAGCTGGTTCCCTAGTTTTCTTGGGGGAGTGACCTAATTATACCTTTAAATAGAAGACAGTACTCCTCTTTTTAGACCCTTCTTGTAGGCCTGATCTGTTGCTGAATTGTTCGTGTGCCATAGGGAGTCTTTAAGTTCACGTGCATGCATCACGTGCATGCATTAAGGAGCGAAAATAAACAATTATGCTTTTCCTTTAATTTTAGAGAGAAAGCAACTCTCACGTTGAAAAGTTCTTCCTAATTTTACCTATGATAAAAATTTAATTGTATATTCTGACCTAAAATATTAAGATGGAAGAAAAAAAGGAATCTCAGGAAGCAAAAGTGATTTTTTTTAAGGGCAGGGAGAAGTCAATGGGGGAAAACTCTTCCCAAGTTAAAAAGAAAAGACAATGTGGCATAAAGGAACAAAAGAAGAGCACATGTAATGTCAATTTCCTTAGTCAACCTAGTTCCTGCACAGTTGACACATCAACCAGGAGAGCTGCCTTTTAAATTCCTCGGCATTTTGCCTCTTTACGTGGGTTCAGAATATCAGAATGAAAATAGGTGAAGGAAGCCTTTTAATATATTTGTGTGTGGTTACAGATAAATTTTAATTCTCTCCCTCTCTCCCTTCCTCCCTTCATAACGTTTCTATTAAAAACCTGTAGGGGCAGGACCAGTGGCGCAAGCTGCTAAGCGTGTGCTCCGCTGCGGCGGCCCGGGGTTCGCGGGTTCGGATCCCGGGCGCGCACCCACGCACCGCTTGGCAGGCCATGCTGTGGCAGCGTCCCATGTAAGGTGGAGGAAGATGAGCACGGATGTTAGCCCAGGGCCAGTCTTCTTCAGCAAGAAAAAAAAAAAAAAGAGGAGGATTGGCAGATGTTAGCCCAGGGCTAATCTTTCTCTCACACTCACTCTCACACTCACACACACAAAAAAACTTGTAGATCAGTTCTATAACAAAAATGTAAAGTTTTGAACCAGGGCTGGCAAATGCCTGCTACACAGAGCCTCACACCTTCCCTGCATCCACGGCCGACACAAATAATAGTTTACAGAGTACTCTTCTGTTAAGCGTAGACTTCCTCTCACAATACGCACTAAGTAGCTACTATGCACCAGCTCACATGTTAGGTGCTGACATGATATGAAACCCACTTTGGCATCCTTGGCACTCAACATCCAGCACAAAGGTTCAAGACATGGTTTTGAGGTCAGGCCTGTGTTTCTGTATACTGGGCACATAAATCCCTACAGAACAGATGCCATACCTCAATAACAACAGCCACCAAGATACCCAGGCTAGCTTCCCTTGTTATGTCCCCACGCAGATCAAACACCAAGATACAATCTCCTGATTGTAATTTTGTCACGTACACAGATTTGCCTATAAGGAGAGAATATGCTGAGAAAATACTTGAAGATTTCAGTTCCTTGGGCAGTTAGCAGCTCTTGCTGTTAATCAAACAATAAATTATTGTTCTCTGTTAGATACTAGGCACCTACAAGATTAATTAGAAGCAATCAGCCTCCTCCCAACCAGATTCCTGCTACTGTAGGGATTCTTGTTTAAGATTTGTTACTCCCCTGCCAACCTGTCACTTCTCCCCATCCTGGTGAGGAACATCACTTCCTACTCAAACTACTCAGCTAGAAACTTAGGCTTCTGGCTTCCCTACGTACTACATTCTGACATCCAGTTCTGTCCACTCTTATCTTCTAACTATATCTAAAAATGCCCCTCCTCTCTCTCATTGCCACCCACTTCCCACCTGGATCAATGCAAGAATGTTCTGTTTTCTGCTCACTTCCCAGATATATAACAAGTTTTCCAAATGACAGTGCATTTTATGCCTCTGATACAGCTGAAAAGGTATATCCTAAAGAGTCTTGACATACTGATAAAATTACATTGAGAGAATTTTTTAAACTCTTACTAATGAATATTAAAACTGCACTTGCCAAAACAAGGAAAGCATAAGCGTCTCATTTAAAAATTAGAGTTAACTAATTCAAAATGATATATGCACCCCTACGTTCACTGCAGCAATATTCACAATAGCTAAGACTTGGAAACAACCTAAGTGCCTGTCAACAGATGAATGGATAAAGAAGTAGTATATATACACAATGGAATACTACTCAGCCATAAAAAAGATGAAGTCATGCCATTTGCGACAACATGGATGGACCTTGAAGGTCCATGCTAAGTGAAATAAGTCAGATAGAGAAAAACAATTACAGTACGACTTCACTCATATGTGGAAGATAAACAAACAAATAGATACGGAGAACAGATTGGTGGTTACCAGAAGGGAAGGGGGTCGGGGGAGGGCAAAAGGGATAAAGGGGCACATATGTATGGTGACGGATGGAAACTAGACTTTTGGTGATGAACATGATGCAGTCTATACAGAAGTTGAAATATAATGATGTACACCTGAAATTTATATAATGTTACAAACCAATGTGACCTCAATAAAATTTACAAAAAGAAATAAAAATTAGAGTTAAACTAAGATGTAAATATGTGTGTATACATATATAAATATCATATATGGATATATGAAAAATAAAGCAGTCCCCGAAGTCCAGAATAGATCTGACACTCACGGCTAGACGTCAATGTTATTACAAGCTGGTCTGACACTCAGACTTGCATTCTTCTGTGGGATATAATCTCACAGAATATCTATATCAGATGAAGTCACTCTGAGACTATGATAAAGTGACACAAAAACAAGGTCACTACGCAACCCACAAAATACTAAACATCCCCCTCTTGCACTCAGTGAGTGACTGCCACTTCTTTAGCAATTATAAATTTTCCTCAACCTAGTCTGCCCTCCCTATAAATAAGATTTAATGAGATACCCAATCATAGGATTGGCCTTCCTTCTGACAGTACTCAATACAGAATGATTCCCTGCCTTCCTTAGATCCTCCCTGAAATTATTCAAAGCCCAAATTCTATGACAGGTCTAACATCTTACTGAGATGTCTCATGGTATCTTATAATGTCCATTTTTCCTTGCTGCAATGAGTAATAAACTCAACTTGTTCAACTATAGGCATGTTTTTGGTGGTCTTTGGCTAAAAAGAATTGAGATACATGCACACACACATACATATTCCTATATTTTCTCTCTCCCTCTTTCTCTAATAGTTCTCTCTCTCTAATAACAGTTCTTTGACCATATGAGATTAGGAGGAAGTCATTTTGAAAATTATGATCAGGTGAATACTACAGACAAAGAGGATTTGCTTCCTGTATAAGAAGGAGGATGAATAGAAGCATAAGGTGGTTATACAACTTAACTGTTTTCAAGCACAGTACAGAACACAAAGTCTTTCAATTTCCTTTAAGACTCTCTACAGTGGCATGGCTGTGGCTTCTCACCATTGATATTTTGTTCAAAGAGACTTTGCATCACTTCACATCTAGCAGGTTGACAAACTGTGTCTATAATTGTGTAATACAACCTGGGTATC